ATCGAACCACTCTTGCCACGTGCAGAAACCGGTTTATGCTGTTATTTTGTGCGACTGAATGTTGTCCTTTAAATTTTCTGTTTAGACGAAAAATCTATCGACGTCTCACAAAAAGAATATAAATTCTTAATATATCTTAATCGATGTGTTCAGTTTTTGCATAATAGTAACGTCATCTCCAGCAACATTTTACAATGTTTTAAAATCGCTAATTTCTATCTAGCGACGAATCCATTGAACCTATCGAGCAACGGTAACAAGAATGTTTATTTTGCAATCGAACATTGATCCCATATTATTAATTTAATGCATTATTATCGACACACGGATGCGTGATTATCACATCCGTGACATGGATGATGCAACAATGATCGTAATACGTACAACGGCAAAGCCACTTCTGCAGCAATATACATATGTACTACATACATACATATGCAGTATGATCAAAATATGAAATCACGGTAACAAGAGAAAAATGAGGGCACATAATATTGTTTTGTCTAATTAGCTGGACATTTTTGACTTTCAATTTGCGAAAGTTCCTGAAAATGAATTTTAACCTTAAAGTCAAATATGTACATAAAACCGTAAGTCGAATAGGTAAACAATCGACTGTATAGGTTACGTAATAATAATACGGCTAATAAACTTACAACGCAATACCGCACCGATTATACGGGCAACAAGTTCACGCGATGTCGGCCGATTGAAAACAAACCTCGATGGCCGACACGAGTCTGCGCATAAGCGTAAGGATTATATACGTTCATATACATGCGTGTGTTGCGTATATTTGAACGATTACAGAATCCGAGCAATGTTTCGTCTATCTTCTTTAGTTTCTCTTTGCTGTACTCCATTCTTTGTCCTCTCTTCCCGTATTTCATTTCAACGTGCACACTTAACATATAGAAGCAGTCGAGCTCATACTCTGTCTCCATCTCCGTCTCCGTCACCTCTCTTGGTTCCTTTTTCTATGTCGCGTGATGTTATACGTGGCCATTGTGCGCGCGCATCTCTTCCTAAAACAACGCACGCCGCAACTGCTCCGGCGATATTTTCTCTTCCCGTTAATAAATATGCTAGATATAATTGCTGCTAGATCGTAAATATTTTGAATACACGATCTATATACGTGAAATCGTTAAACGCATTTTGCTCAAACTTTTCATAAAAATGTTTATAATGAATCTTCGATACGAATGCTGTTATTACCAGCGAGTTGATTGCAAGCATCCAAGAACGATCAATGATTCTCATGTGCATTCTAATCGTTTACCATTGGAAACATACATATGTATGTACACGAAAGAACATAGCCAGAAAGAGAGGAGGAAAGAAAGGAATTAAGTTTAATTCTCGAGTTGTCGATTCTAGTATCGAATATGTTAATTGAAACGTTATTCGTACGCGATATGCTTTCGAATAAACTTTATTCGATGACACGAAATTCGGGATTGAGTTCGATTAAAAATTATCGGTGGTAAATCCAATAAAAATAGAATTGTAAATGAGAGAAAACTTGCATCATACGATTCGGCAATTACGTGACACAAGAATGAAGCAGTTGTGATTCTTCGATAAACAAGAGAACCCCTGCCTAGAAGCTACGTGACGCGGCGCCGTTTCAGAGGGCGTCGACGAAGTCGTCCGATTCTACGTAGAAGCAACGGCGTGGCAGGAGGGTAGCGGCGGCAACGAAAGTGTGGTGGGGACAGAGGACTCGTCGATGTCGGGACGTGATCAACGATGAAGGAGAGTGGTGGGGCTGTTAGTAAGCGAAGCGGCCATCTTGTGAGGTTCAGTCGGAAACCAACTGCCGAGCAGTGAGGGAAGGTGAACGAAAAGACTCGATGTGTTAGCTGAAGGATTTTTTTAATGCGCTTCCGAGCCCGGTTACCGCTACGTGCGAAAGGCTGTGCGATACCGTCAACGGAACAGCGACCATCCAGAGATTTTCGCATACGGAGAAACTCCGGTTTATTCGGCGACAAGTCTCTCAGCGTAGTAGCAGGCGAGTCGAGGGAGCTGAGGTAGGCGAAATTTTGACGCTGTGGGAGAAGTCAAAACGGAATCGCGGAATCGTATTAAGATCTCGATTCGCGCAGAGAGAACTTATACGTTAATAACATCTCATCGGATCGAAGGCACTGGACGAAACGAAAGCATTTTGCCTATTCGAATCCTCGAAGATAGCGTGGAAAGGAGGAATAAAAGAGAAGAAACTAGGAGAAGGGTAGAAGATTAAAGGAGGGAGATATAACCAAGAGAAAAGAAAGATAAAGCGCAGTGTCAAAGCCTGTGATAGTATTTATTCAACCGATTCAGCTACGGGGCGGTATCATCTACCACAGTAGCTTCATTTATCGCTCGTATAAGTTGGAAGAGGGACAGAGCGATAGATAGTCTTTATATATTTATTTATATCTGTGATACCGACACTGATATACATCGAATTATCCCGAGGTAGAAACATCGAGAGCGTGTATGTGAAATAGAGACAGAGAGAAAGAGAGTGGGATAGTGTGACAGAGAGAACGAGCGAGCGAGCGAGCGAGCGAGAGAGAAAGAGAGAGAGTGAGAGTGAGTACGTCGGTAAAGGGAGCAGAAAAGATCGAGGGAAGCGACATAGCAGTTTGGAAAATCGAAATATCGGGGAAAAAGATTATATCAGTATCTTAGTGGATATAGATGTTTTTGTATATACGACTGACTCTTTTTTACAATTATTGATATCGAGAGAAGAGCGAAAAAGTGAGAAAGTTTCATTATCGTTCTTTAAACAAGAAAGAAAGGAGACTCATAGGAGAAAAGACACGAGCAAAAAGAGTTTTGTTTTAAAGGAGAAAACACTTCCTTTTCTTGGCTTTTTCCTGGACATTAAAGAATCGAAGTTAAGTGGCATTGTCGCGTGCAAAAATGGTGGAGAAAATCTTGGAAGAACGAGAAGATGGGTGCCAAGAGGTAGCGAGAGGTAAGAATATTTTCTCTTAAACGAATACTAATTCGCATCGAATCAAACAATCATTACGACGCCCTGATATCACCCGCGACCATTTTATTCTTATGCCGGTACAACCGCGGTTGACTCGTTTATTCCTCTAATTTCTTCGTTTTCTTCGTTCGTGTTCCTCGACAGTGCGTTTCTTCCCAAACAATCACGCGTATATCGTTTCCATATCGTTTCTATGCGAATTTTGTCGCCAATTAACCGAGAAAAAGCAACATAAATATATCGTTTCGATCGAGAATCCGATTTTTCTTCGTATAAAAAGAAAGAAAGCATATAAAATAACTACACGATGCGATAAATAGAAATTTTCAAGATCAATCACTGGGGAGCAGCACGGGACGTGACAATCGAGTCTCGGTTGACGGGAAGAACTTTCTCGAAGCCGGTGCGCGCGTTGCTCGCTAGCGTTCTCTCGGCTTCGGGTTTTCCGTGTTAGTAAAAATTCAAATTAGCTCGACTGTGAATAATCATGATCGTAAAATAACATCTTTAGCTTGTATCGTTGTAATATCTCGCTAGTTACGACATAATACACTTTCTTATAATTAAGGTCATGTAATTTCAACGGTCACTAAATACCCTCGAAATGGATATTTAAATATTCGGTTGAGAGTTATCAAACTAAAGTTTTCGTTGTTCCACTTGATTCTATATAAATATTATTCCGCGCTGTACAAATATTCTATAGCGATTATGTTGTTGTGCCGAAAATATTTTTACGTTTAAACGATCCGCTTCTGTCCTGTTACACCTTCGTTCTTTCCTCTGTTTCGTATGTCAACATAGTACTCGTACGCCAGTTGAAAAATATAGCATCGCTATATCGTATTTTATTCCATTATTTCAATGTCCATCGTAGACCTAATTATTTTTACTTTCTCCGTTTTAACTTAGTACATATCCTTGATATCTTAGTTGGATATTTCGGAGCTGAAATTACGTTGTTTTGCAACGTTCCGAGAAAGGATTAAGAAAGTTGTTAAGAGAAATAAGTATACTCGCGGTAAAGCATGGTACGATGTTATAAGGATACAGCATGCATGGTTGAATTATTTTTTAGGGTCGAAGTGGGTTAGTCGGTTCGCGTTCGAGTTGGATGCAAATTGCAAAGGGTGTCGGTAAGGGTAACCCAAACAAAGAAAATGGAAGGGGCGCAACGGCGAAAGGGAGGGAACCTTCATGCGCATGTCAGATTCGTTGCTACCCTTCGTTTTAAAGGGAACGGTTTGTTCCGAGGAATAAAAGAATTTGCGTGTACTTTACTTCGAAAGGGAGCCGCGCGAAGCTAACTTTCGGATAGTAAAACTTTCAATTGAAATTTCATACGTTGTAATTGTTCGTTTCGACGAAGAAAAATGGAACAAACTTTTCAAACGAACATAGTTGTTTTACGATATGATAGAAAACCGAGGTCGTAAAGTTTTTCGCTTAAAAATGCATCGAATTTGGAATATATCGGGTTTATATCCGTTACATCGAGTTTTAACGAAACATTCAAGGATAGATCGAACTGGTTTCATAAGAAATTCAGCACAGTAGATACTTTTTCTTTCTTCTTTTTCCTTCTTTACATTTTTTTTTTTTTTTTCTCCAAAGAAATTTACACGTGAAAAACGAAGTTAGTTTCTTTTCCTTTTTCATTTTGAGTCCACTATTGTCGCGGGTTTAGCGGATGCAACAGCAACCATTATCGTATGTGCATATCTCGTGTAAGATGGCGGCGTTCCTTTTCTGTGCCAGTCATTGAACTCCGAGCTCTCAGTGCCTCGGTTGTCTTGCTTCTTGCGTTGCATTGCGCTGCGTTTTATCGTCGCTGTAACTAACGAAAAAATACATTTACTCTCGGCGAAAACAACTCCATCGCATTATAAAAACGCAAGATCTTTGAAATTCTAATTGCGAGCTTCGATTCGCAAGGACCGCTGACTCGATGCAACGCAATCCGACATGATCTGACTTGATCGGATTGTATATCGCAATTTAAATGTAGGTCCAATTATCTAATCGTGATATTTTCGTTATTCGGTAAATTTATGAATGTGTACTCTTTATCTTCCAATTTCGATGACCTTTAAACACGTACACAACCTTTTCCCCTGTACATAAGAAGTGGTCGGTATTAGTTTTTGAGATATTCGCAAAAAACTTTTCGCGTTATACAATCGTACTTTGCTCGTACATACGTACGTGTGAACACCCGTGGCAGCGTGTGTCGTGTCAACATACGATCGCCGCTTTTCTACTATTTCTATAAATTGTGTACACAACGGGTGTACTCTTCAAAAGGGTACTTCTCATCGATTCAAACCGGACTTTTCTCCGAGTATACTTTGTATATCATATTTAGTAGTTGGTCCCTTTGCCACCCAATGGTAGGAATTTTAAGATATATTTTCTATTCATTTATTAACGAACCAAGTTCATCCGTTGTATGCAACGTTTATGGAAACAATGGAGAAGCGGCGATCGTACAACGATGCACGCACTATCGCACTATCCACGGGCAACGTACAATTGTATAACGCGAAAAGTTTTTTGCGAAAACTAAGATCAACCACCACCCTCCTCCCTATTTACGAAGGAGAAAGTCGCTGGAAATATTCGTTTCTATGGTATATTTGGAAGCCATGGAAATTGGCTGCTTCCGTTCGCTGAACGAACGGTTACATCGACGAGTCGATCCGTTATTCTATTACTCTTTGTTGTTTCATCGACTGTGTGTATGTTTGTACACGCGATATATTTTCCTACCCATGCGACGAGTCTCTGCACTTTCGACTCGAAGAAATATGCCGGTCGCGCGTGATTCCTCATTTTTTATCGAGCGATTTCGCTTGCATTTCAAATTGGTTAGTTTTTAAATCCAATATCGGCAGACAGCGAACAGAATGTTGCAATTTATCTTAATCTCGTGCGTGTAAATCGTATCGCGGAATTGGTTATCCCGTTGACAATCCAGTATTCCGTTCCAGTGCATCAGTTGTTCGTAAGAGTTTTCGTGCCTTTTATTTATGTCGAAACCGATGATATCTATGAATTTATAATTTCCTTCGATAAGGTATATATCGGTTGATAGAAATCGTTATCAACTGCCCAATGCAACCATTGAGTTATAGAAACGAATCAAACGTGTCATCAGCCCCGGCTGATACGGTAAATATCGTTAATAAGTACGCATAAAACGAACGATGACTAATACCGTAATATTTGCGGTCGAGCAACGTGTAAATGAATCTGTGTAAGAATAAATACGTAAACGTGTATTGTGCCTGATACCAAGTTAACAAAAATGGAGGGGGGCTAACACGTGTGTGTGCTTGTTGGTGGTTGCTTGATTCTCGTGAAATTCTTCCCGCAAATAAACAACCGTTGCATAACCGCGTCGTGTTAGCGCTTAATCCAGAGACTTTGTACATTTTTTTCTTCTTTTTTTTTGTTCTGATCATTTTTCTCTAATTTTCCTGTTATTTTCGATCGACATTAGATGCAGTTCTTTTTTCACGCGCGACAAAAGTAACAGCGACAGAAGAAAAAAAAAAAATTTCCATTCTTATTTATTACATTTTATCTTCGAATAGAACCATCTACTCTGTTTGTACGCGTTTTATCCTAGACTATCGTGCGAAATTAGAATATACGTGTGTAACGTTTTTGTTTTAGAAGATGCAAATTGCAGAGAGACTGTGAATACTACCGGTGAATCTATCAGCGCGGTGCAAGCTCGACAAGAAGAAGCTAGACGCAAAAGACGTAAGAAGAAACGATCTGGCTCGTCCTTGATGTCCTCTTGTTTTCAAGGTAAAATTTGATCCATGAAAAGATTTCTGACATGTTGCGTGAAGTAAAAAGAATTCCTATGCTCATGCGGCACGATAAATATCTGGTGTTTACTCTCGTATGATTAATCGGAACGGATACTGTTAACGAGTTAGCTCGATATAACAGCGTTCTTCGTGCGTATCGTGGTGAATTTTAACGAGAATTCGTATAAAAGTTAAACGATTTTTATTAAGCATTGTAATATATTGAAAATCAAGCGTGTACGGATCGTTAGTTTAATTACACCGGTCGGTCGGTACGAAATGTGCATAACGTTGGGTAGGTAGGAGAAACGTGGACGAAAAGAAATACAAGGTAGCGGTGAATTTGTTTACGAGATAATAAAACTCGTTGATAACAAATCATACGAATCGTTTAGCTCGTTTTCGTGGACACGCAATTCAGTTAGGTATCTCTGTCACACCCCTATTCCAGTGACTTGCATTTCAGTTAGGTATTTGACCTTGTATAAGTTCAGAATGTTCGAGAAACTCACGTGAAAGGGGTATGATCGATCGTACATGCAAGCTAAAATTTTCTTACCGGTGCAATGGCCGACCACTTTTGTACTCGTTCGTGCATACTTTGCGTCACGAATGTCATAGTACGACGTAATCACTCGTTAATTTTCCCTTCTTCCTCCGTTTGTCTCGATGATATACATAGTTTAAATAAAAGATGCGCTAGGCAACAGTCTCTCAATCTTAAATTTGGAAAAATGAACGACTGTACACCAGAGTACCTCTTTAAACCAGCGCGTTAATAAAAATATCGAAAAAAATGCATATCGGAGAGATATAATTTCCTTTCTTAAAAACCATTGACCGAGTTCATTGGTTGAGACCGTTACGTCATACCATACGATCGATTCGTATAGTACCGTAGAGTTTCAGTGTTCGAGAAGCTTCCATTCCGTACTACTAGTGGTAAACTAGGCATGAGCGCGCACGTATACGTTAAAATCTGGGCCACGGGTTAACTTGTCGATATGTCTCAAGTACCAACATCTTTTCTTTAGACTTTTTTACCTTTGCTCCTTTGATCTTTGTCGTTCTTTTTCCTTTTTTTTTTTTTTTTTTTTTTAAAA